ACAACTGTTCATGATTTAGGTGGCATGGGTACTACTTGATATCTTCACAAAGTCCATATGTAGTCATGGCCATATTACGGTTCCGGGAACCGGAATCGTCGGTTCGAACCGACCCAGAACCGTAACCGGAACCGGTGAGAACCGGAACCGGGACGAACCGGAACTGAAACCGGAAAAATTCGGTTCGGTTTCGGTTCCAGCAAATGAGGAACCAGAATCAGCGGTTCCAGAGAACCGGTTGGAACCGGACTGGAACCGCCGGTTCTCCGTCCGGTTAGAGAACCCGTGGAACCGCGAACTGGAACCGCGGTCTCCGCTCCGGTTAGAACCGCCGTCTCGAACCGGTTCGAACCCGCCGGTTCTAGCCTCGTAACTGTCAGACTTTTTGCAGTTTTTTTGTTTTTTTAAACTTGTTGTGAAATTGTCTTCAATTACCCCTCCCAACAAAGCCATAAACGGCTATATAACGCGCTAGTTTTAAAAGACGGCTACATAACGGCTAGTTTCAAGGGTATTTTTAGAAAAATGAATTTTTGGATTTATTATAAATACCTCATTTTATTTACAAATTCATTACAAAAACATCTCAACTCTCTCTACAATATACTACACTCTCTACTTACTCTCTCTACCATATACTACACTCTACTCTATATTAATCATTTATTCTTCTCTACTCTACTCTATATTCTTACCATGCAAATTTTCGGGTACGCTTCTAACCTTCTTTATTTATATATTCTGAAAAAATACAAAAAGAAGAATTAGCAAAAATGATTTCTATGGAACATTTATCTTTTAGTTTTGGTGAAAAAGTAGGTTTTCAATCTATCCCTACAAACGACCATCTTATGATAGATTCCCGGACCAATTAATCTGTGAACAGCGTTTTCCAAACTGAAATTTGGATACTTTCCAACTCAAGAATGCGAAATTAACTGAGCAATTTGAAGAAAGATGAAAGAGCAAGAGCCAAGAGCAACGAGCAACAAATTGTTACAAGAGCCAAAGAAAAACAATTCCGACCATAATTTCCATTCATTCACAAACAAAATTCAACAGGTGCGAAAATGTACGATCTTGTAGAGTTTGCGGAGGATGGTAGTGCTGGAAAAACTCTTAGAAATTTAAAACAACAGCGGAGCCGGCTATGGATCATTTTGGACAGCCATTCTGGAGCAAAAAAACATCGCCAAACAAAAATAGGAGCTTGATCGCGTCTGCAACAACAAGCTTCTCCGGGTACCGCTTCTAAACCTTCTCTTTATCTTAAGATATTCTGAAAAAATTAAAAAAGAAGAAATTAGCAAAAATGATTTGCTATGGAACATTTATCTGTTTAGTTTTGGCTGAACAAAGCTAGGTTAATAATTATTCAAAAATGAAAAAGTAGGTTTTAATAATTATTGTCAAAAAGCTTTAAATCCTTCTGCTAAAAGAGTACCAAGAAATACTGTAAAACGAACTATTATTTCTTTATCTAATAAAGGAAAAAAATAGTTAGAGCTTTTATTTTCTCAAATGAAAATTCGTGTTTCAATTTGTTGTGATGTTTGGAGTAGTGATCATTGGCAAATGCATTCTTGTATGGGTATTACATGTCATTGGATTGATGATGATTGAAAAATTCAAAAAAGAATTATTGGTTTTCGTGTTTTTGATGATAAACATACTGCAAATAATAATAGAGTTATTGTTTTCAGATTTTAGAGTGGAATTATACGGGTTGACAAAAAAAAAATTTCTTCAATTCATCTTGATACATGCTTTCGCCAAATACTAGACATCACATTATTGAACTTAAAAAAATTCTGGCTGCGAACCAAATATTGATGGCTACAAATTTTTTCATATAAATCGTGCATGCTCCATGTTTTAAAAATTATGTGTCACAAGCATTGGCTTTCTGAACAACATTTCTTTGATTGCTTTATGTCTTCCAATCTAAAAGAAAGCTATTTCATATTTAAATGGACACTACTGCCCCAAAGGATGAAAAGTTGCGGCTAAATTTTGCTTAAAGAAAGATTAATAAAAGACGAACAAAACGTTTTCCCAAGGGATGTCCCAACTACGTTGGCAATTCAACATCATGAATTACTTAAGACGCAGTCTTTTTGCTTAAAAAGAAACTTATTATTGTTTTTCTTGTACTAATAATATTGAGGATATTTAATCTATATCCACAAAGGATTGGGAGATGTGTGCAAAAAATTATTAGATTATGTGTTTAAAAATTTTTCAACATTGATGCTAGCCTATAAATTTAGTGGGCATCTATTTATCCTCACATCTTAATTATTTTACCCTATGTGTTATTAATATTAGATTACCTGCACTCCAAAGACATTTCAAAATGATGAATTTATTTAAAACAGATTGTTTAGTTTTTTTTGCAAATTAAAAAAAAAATGCGTATCTTATTCTTACAAAATATATACCGCGCCCATGTTTACTCTTGTTCGCTATCTGTATGTTTGATCCTAGATGTAAGAATTGGATGTTTTATGTTGATTATTGACTGATTTATTTATTGACATAGTAAATCTTGATGTTAGAAGCTTAATGTTAATATAAAGTACACGTGCAGGGACAGTTAACACAAAATATAGGCAATATTATAATGCAATTTGTTCAAGTTTCTAGTTCATCTTACTTCTATTTCTACTTCTTCTCCAATTCTAATATTCCACAATCTTCAACACACAAGGGTACAGTGGCTGTTGATGCGCTGCAACAGACGTGTTGTATGTTGCAAAGACAAAAAAAACAAGGTCGAATCCAGTCTATGTCTGAATTTGGACCAATTATCAATAACTTCTTTGAGTTTGGTTTGCATAGATTATGCAGATCAGATTTCTCCAATTTTAGCATTGGTTGGGCAGTCCGTCACGCACAATACCTTTTCCAAATTCCTTTCTTTACTTTGCCCCAACAACAAATTTTTAGCAGCTTCCGGTCTCCACTGGTGTGCGGTTGAACCAAGCTTTTAGTCAAGGATGGTAACATACAGCTTGATAAACACCGGATCTCGTTATGACACCCGATTCATTAGAAGAAGCAAACAAGCCGTCGTGGATGCCATTGGGACCAAAGCCCCGAACTAAGAGCCCAAGAAAATCCAAAAAGTAAAATGAGAGATTATTTCGATGTTATACGATGGGTCTTCAACGGGAACATCGACACCGCGGTGGTGCCCAAATAGCGATTAGGTAAAAGGCTGGTGTGACAATGGATAATACAGGTAAAGTAAGGAACTGATTGCTGCGCGTTATGTCCTCTAAACCCCAAGAGGATAACGTAGCGGCAACTTAATTTTTTTTTTTAAAAACAAACAAAAAAACATTAAGTTCACAGCCCTTTTTTAGTTTAAAAAAATTCAGTTGCTTCAAACCTTAAACAAACAAGAAAGAAAATTGCAGTTCCAAACATTTTTTTTTTAAAAAAAAAATCATGGATTGTTCAAACACTCACAACACATTCAAAAGTCTTTAAAAAAATTAAATTTAATTCGAAGTATTTTTTAATTTTGTAGGTGTATTTTTTAATTTTTTATGTTCAAATAATTCAGTTTAAACCGATGCTTCAAAAGTATAAAATTTTTCTACGGTGTATTCTTTGAATTTATTTAGGTTCCAAATACATGTTTTTTTTTAACACCCGGCTCTTCATATTTTTAAAACTTTTCTTAAACTGCTTATTTTTTAATTTTAGCTTCACATAATTTTTTTTTAAAAACGGTTATTCAAAAATTAAAATTTAAAATTATGCGGATTCGCCCGGAAAACCAATTAACGGAACCGTCTGGTTTTGTAATCGGATCGGAAACCGAACCGTAAACCGGACCAATTTTGATTCGGTTCCGCGTCCAAGCTTTTCTTCTGAAACCGAACCGCCGGTTCCGGCTAAGCTCTATCCATATGTTCCCAAATAGCGCATGCCAAAAGATAACTGCGTTCGATCAAAAAAAATGGAGGGGTTCCTTAGAGCTTAGCTTCCTCTAACCAAAAACTAGCGTTGCGGACTGGCCTACTCACTTATAGGACGGGGCGTCAATTCGAAAATATAGAAAACCACATAGGCAAAGGTGCGGAAAAGCAGAAAAAGAGAACACGGAACCGGAACCGGAACCGGACCATTTTGATTCGGTTCCGGTTCCAGCTTTTCTGGAACCGGAACCGCCGGTTCCGGTAAGTCTATCCATATGTTCCCAATAGGCATGCCAAAAGATACTGTTCGATCAAAAATGGGAGGGGTTCTTAGACTTAGTTTCTACCAAATAATATGCGTTTGGGACTGCATAGTCATATAGGACGTGGAGCGTCAATTCGAAAATATAGAAAACGCAATAGGCAAAGGTGGGAAAAAAGAGAAAAAGAGAAAGAGAGGGAGAGAGAGCAAGTAAGAAATGCTTTTGATTTCAATAAAAAGTTTGTTATATTCATTTTGTCATGCCTTGACAATAAAAACTCCCTCCTATGTGTACTAGGATTTCTGCTTACTGAGCAAGTAGATTCTAGAATGCCTTGGGGAGCAAGTATGCACAAAGTGTAATTTTCTCAAAATATACGTTTTTATTGGGTGAATTTGTAGTCAGGTAGACTGGGCCCAAAGGCCTGCCTTGGGTGACTTAGATAAGCCTAGTGTGATTGTTGTCCTTTGGGCCCAATAGGCCGATGTCAACACAGTCTCGTGCCAAAAATCATGTTCGAGGAAAAATTACATCTTTTCATGATTTTTTTCTTCTTACACGCAAAAAAATAAATAAATAAATAATAATAATAATAATAATAATAACAATCCTTGTCTTTAATGGGTTAACAAGTACACTCATGACGACAATAGTCCATGCTTGTCTAGAAATATAAGTAACAATTCTACCTCCCTAGGGGTGCATTCAATTCTTGGATATGATGAAACAAATTCAGATACTACAATATTATCTGTGTAATTCAACATTCTTTCCACAAGCATATGATGAAAAAAATTCAGAATTTCAATAGATATGAAAGAGAAAAAAGGCATTTCTCTGCATTTATTCAAGTAGTCCATTGCTACAAAAAGAATAAAGAACCTAAGAGGAAGCAGCAGAATGACCTCAAATGGAGTTACAGTGGGAATACCCACCTTTCCTCAAGAATTAATTTCACTGATAGAAACAAATTTACAGAGTTACTAACCATATTCTACTTTCAGCTTGCAGGGAGGTTCTCCAGCCAAGGACGGAAAAAGATCCCGGCCTGAGAACCCACAAGAATCACCATTGGTGCAAAGCGCCCCAATTCGAGGCCTGCACAAAAGAATAAAAATTTCCTAAAGTTGGTTAATTTTTCCGCTGCTCCCACAATTAATCTTTTGGAATTTCCGTGTTGTTAGAACCCCATTAGAGAAAATAAAGTTAGCAAAGCCAGGCTCTAGATCATGCTCCAGAGGCAGGCCAACCAGTTTCCTCATCAGTCGTGTGAATCCAAAAGTCAACCTAACCTGCTCTCCCGCCCTAAAAACGGGCCTCTGACTTTAAGACGCTTTGGCCCAATCTCTATCGGGGGCGGTTCCCTCATGGTCTTTCCCAACTCATGGTGGAACCTGTCTACTCTGTGGTGTTCTGGCTGTCTGCTCATTGCTTCATCATTGACCCACTTCTTGAACTTAATAGAGATGGGAATGCCACTTCCCCTGGCAAACCTGTCCCTTGATCCATTCTCTGGAGTCTCCTTACAATGCACAGTCGGTGTATAATTGTGATTCGATTCATCATCAGTTTGGCTGTATTCTGATGACATCGTTTGGGCAATTCTTCCTTCAAATTGAAGTTTTTTCAATCGTTTCAGCCCCTGTTTCATCGAACAAATATGAGTAGGTATAAAATTCAAAAAAAGAAAAATGAAAATTGAAGCAGCATGTATGAGAACAACAAAAACATGACATGAAAAGCCAAGAGCAAGAGATGACAAGCACGTCCAGCATTTGTTTCACAGACAAAATCATAATATAGCAGATTACGAGAAGAAAAGGAGGTAAAGCACAGTAAATATAATAAAAATATTCGATAACATCTAATAGCTTACAGCAGAAAGAGACAAGTATTCACAACATCTTCTGATGCCAAGACAAATAAACCTATTCTGTCTCATCTCCTTGGAGAACAGCACAAGGCTTCCCCCATCCCATTTTCACACATAAATAACTTTCTATTGAGAAATATCTAACCCAAAAAAAAATGGTCCAGTTTTGGAAACAAACAAATTCAAGAGACCACTGCACACTCAATAGAAAAAGAATACACCAAAATCCCAATTCTTTAAATACGTGTTATATTCTTCTAGAAAGATCATCTCAGCTCCAGCATAAACTCAAGTTTCGTGCCCCATGACCCATAAGGACCAGTAGACTTTTTTTTTTTCTCACCTTTATTTTTTCCCCCTATGCTTCTGCTTCCTGTGGTAAATTTTCCTTACAATTTTTACCTCATTTTTCACATTAGAGTCTCACATGTCTACAACTCGATGCAGAATTCCAAGAATTAGTGTCAAATAGACAAAAATTGATGTTGATAAGGAAACTGAAACACATAATTGCACATCAAATAAAAGGAGGACGATGCTGGCCGTCCGAACAGTGAATAAATTCCCATTTCCCACTAATAAAAGACAATGCATATATAAAATGGCAAAAGGACAATCGTATACCTGGTATTCGCAATTCTTCGAAGACCCATTATCAGTCACAACTCTTTTTTCCACTTTGAGAGAAGAGCGTCGCTTAACCCTAAATATCTCCAAATCAGAATCATCACTATGATTATCTACACTAGGTCTAGCCTCTGATCCATAACGAACACCATGCTGGGTACTCCGGCATTCATCGTGAGAAAAAGAGGATAGAGAGGACTCATGCACGTTTTGTGATACTTCTTCAAATAACTTTTTACAATCAAGATTCCCTATGTTAAAGTCAGCGCACCTGCTTACCTTCTAAAGATATGAATAAACCAAAAAAAAAACTCATTAATCAAAACATTAAAAAGACCACTCTTCTCATTGTTTGAGACTGGTTGGTATAAGAAATGAAAAAAGGATGAATTGACAGCTACTTTAGGGAAAGAAATTAAGAAGCCAAAACTTACACTGTTGGCTGCTGAAGAGCTTTGAATCACCTCACCAGAAGAATAGAGAGCAGATGCAGAACAAGAAACAGATGTTTCTGAGACTTCAGGTCTAAAATTTTCAATGCCATGTATGAATTTAGACTGACTAGGGGCTTGTGACCCATCCTGAATTGTTGCAGAAGCCTTGAGGTTAAAACGAAAGTTTATTTCACAATAAGGAGAGTATCCATCCTCTAAAACACCCAGAAACTTATTTGATAATGGATAGGAATACAAATCATCCCCACTTCTTGCATGCTGTTGAATCTCCTCCCGTATTCCATCTTCCTTCTCAAACCTCTTGGCCGCAGCTTCCATTGCTGAAATATCCTCCCTCAAAAATAAGGTATGATTTCTTCCACATGGAAAGTCAAGTGACTTAAAATCTGGATAGGTGATAAGGATCAACATAAGTTATTGAGAAGCCGATATCAACAGACAGAAAAACAATGATATAGTACATAGAGACAAACACATCAGCAAATACATAGCAAACATACCATGACGAAGGCACACGGCATGCAAGTCACAATTGCAATTAAGGAAAGCTAAATAGCAGTCCCGTTTGCACAAGCTGCATAGAATAGTTCCTTGGGTATTTCGCAAAAGGCTAGTGCATGCCCCTGATTTCATAAGAGACCATCGAGCATAATGCTGGAAACGCATCAGTTTGACAAAAGAAACCTTAATACAGCGATGAGAAACCAAATCAGCAGAGGAATAATCTGAATCTTCAATTTCCAGGCTCGAATGGAGATTCATTGCTTCTTTGCACAAAAGTTCTTCATGGGGAAGAAGAGGCATCCTGTTCAGAATGGCATAACGCCGACTAGCAATAGCTCCCATTGGAAACCAATCTCCAATTGCAAAATTTACAGCTTCACCACAATTAAAACCTAAAGATTTACAATAGGTAAAATATGATTACATAATGCCTAATGTTCTTCCTTAGCAACTAGAGATTAAAAAAAAGCAACTAGAGATTCAAAAAAATTTTGATATATTACCATGGCTAAATCCAGCGTGATAAGCTCTAGGAAAGGTGATAACAAACTCCCCAGGCTTTTGCACAGCCTTGAAGACAGGGACACCATGTTCCAACAATATATTTGGAGGAAACAATGTGGTTTTCCCCAAAAGTACATCAAAAGCTCCATCCTCCCCCTCAGTTGATAGAATATCATGGCTGTAAACATGTTCCCTAACCACCTTTTCAAATTCTAAAGCTGCATGGCCAGGAATTCCGTACCAAGTTTTTGATGCCCCACAGTGATGGTAATTAATACTGCCAGAACATTAAGGAAAAGATAATAATTAGAAGCTTATAAATAAAATTTACAATGTAAATGAAATAAAAGGATACTGTTCAATGCCCTAAAAGTATGTACAAGACGTACCTATATAAATAATGGTCTTCCACATGCCAAGCAAACATGCTAAATAACATTCCAATGTAAAGCATGGGATCTGTTACTCCCTGAAATGTACAAAATGTAAGTCAAGAAGTGACAGAAAGCATAAAGACAAATATTTAAATAGATATTTATAGTCTAGTTACCGGAATAGCTGTTTCCAGAAGACGTAAAATGGACTTGGGCAGCCGTGAAACATTCTGAAAACACAAACAGAGATGAGATATAACAATTGCTAGGCATGATGCAGTATTAAATTAAAGAATCTCTAATATGCTAATTGTAGGAAAGTGTTTTTGAAGAATTGTTTCAACATTTACCCAAAACCAACTATTTTATTCACAGAAATCAAAAAATAAAATAACAACTCTGATAGAGAGGGAGAGAGATAAAAGAAGAAACAGTTGATCAAATGATAAGAATCAAAATGGGATATTACCACACAGGAAAACGTCATACTTGTTTACTGACATTATCAACTTTCCTCTGAAAGAAAAAGTATCTCTAACGAAAGCCTATTACCCAGTTATTTTCCCACCTTAAGCAAGCAGGGGCGAAGCCAGAAATTTATATTAAGAGGGTAAATCTTTGACATCTAAATCAAGGGGGCAAGTGATTAAAGGAATAGCCACAAAACCTACAGGTCCTCAGTGCCAGAAAGAATTTCTCCACTCTACATACATGCGATACATTATTCTAAAAATTTCTCCACTCTACATACATGCGATACATTATTCTAAAAATTTCTCCACTCTACATACATTTAACTGACATTATCACCTTTCTCCTCTGAAAAGAAAAAAGTATCTCTAACGAAAAGCCTATTTACCCAGTTATTATCCCACCTAAGCAAGCAAGGGGCGAAAGCCAGAAAATTATTCATTAACGAGGGTAAAAATCTTTTGACGAATCTAAATCAAGCGGGCAAGTGATAAAGGAAATCAGCCACAAAACCTAATTTCTCCACTCTACATACATGCGATACATTATTCTAAAAATTTCTCCACTCTACATACATGCGATACATTATTCTAAAAATTTCTCCACTCTACATACATGCGATACATTATTCTAAAAATTTCTCCACTCTACATACATGCGATACATTATTCTAAAAATTTCTCCACTCTACATACATGCGATACATTATTCTAAAAATTTCTCCACTCTACATACAATACATTATTCTCTAATCAACACAATAAATTGCCAATTATCAAAACAAAAAGAAAAAGAAGGAATACATATCCCATTGCTTAAGCATATGAATCCCATATCCACAGGACCAGATCCCCCGAAACAATCCAAAATTGCCAGGAAGCCTCACTCATATCTGCTGAAGGCTAGAGTTTTGAGGGTGTACGAAACCACCCCTCATTCCAAAGGGATATAGTCCCAAAACTTTTGATGTTGGGTTGTTGTTAACGTTTCATTGTACTTTGATGTGTATTTTGCATTTGGATGGTCACAAGGTCATCATCCTCCAAGTCAATAAATACATACAACAATATAGCAATGAAAACTACAACTAGTTACAATACTGAGGTGAAACCACTTGTCGTACAGCATTTTACAATGTTGAGGTAAAATCAAGTAGTTGACACTTCATCAGAAAGGGTAAAATAACAAAAAAGGGTAAAATAGCACCTTTAAATTCCATTTGCTATTTCCAAGCAGATCAGTGGGAGATGATGAAAAGGCACTACCGTCAACATCACATGCATATTCAACTGTTTCTGTCTTTCCACAAGCAATTTCATGCCAAAATTCTTTTTCCAAGTATGTTGCAGGAAGACAACTGGTACTACAGTACCTGCGAGCATAAACCTTGTTCGCCAATTTCTCGAAATCACGAAAGGTGTAATTTCTGAAAAGGTATACTCATGTTTTAAGCCCATATAGAACGCCATCAAAAATTATATTTGCTTTGAAGTAAGAAAACTCACCTTCCACTCATAAAAAAGGTAACTCTATCATCAGTATCCCACTCTGCAAGACGAAGAGGTTGCACTCTAGTTGTGAACTTGAATCCTGCTTTCTCCCTCATGAGTACAACCCCAGCAGGAACAGAAGCACTTAAAGGGGAAACAATCTTGCATATACCTGCACAAGAAGAAAGAAAAGTCAGGTCAAAATTGGACTGATGTACAGAGATTTAAATTGCACCTGGGCTGTTTCAAGGTATTGCAGCCAAAGGCTAACAGTTGTATCTGGAACTACTATAAAACTTTTTAAAAAATTGGCTTGCAGAATAAAAAGACTGCATGCAGTGTAATGGCTGTAATGGCCTGTGACGGGTGTGGCAACCAAAACACGGTGCTTGACATCTGATTCTCAAATCATCTATAACAATAGGCCAAAATCTGGCACAACAGATGTCATTTGAAATGCCGCTGAAGTGAGAGAGTAAAACAGTGCAACACTGAATGGATCCTTGGGGAAATATAAAAAAGAGCACTAAACATTCCAAAATTTTAATAATTTTATATTACCAGTTGAAGGCACTCCACTAAGACAATAAAAGGAGTTAGTTTTTGCACTGATTACTGAGAAAAAGTAAGAAACAAAACCAGATTATCATGGTTGCAAGTAAAAATTTAACAATGGTAGCTTCCATACTTTGACACTTAAGTCTTGCAAATTCAAGTATTTTTAGTTGCTGGGGCCATCTCCCATTGTGGAACAAGGGAAAAACTATGGATGAGTTCCTATTAGACACATCTGAAGAAGATTTAGAACAAAACAAATCTCAGACATAAATTACGGTCCAAAGCATTTTATTGACAGTAGATATGCTAACTAAAGACCAGAATAAAAGTGTTCTGAGATTTGTAACAAAAAACTGCAAGATTTAGTGGATTTATGGAACCACACTGCAAAATCAGTAAAAAGTCCATATGTTTTTGAAAGCTTATTTCAAAATCAGTTTGCTATACAATTTAACAAGACAAGATTGATTCTAACCATCCAATTTGCAAGTGTTTCTCAGTATGCAAACATTGAAAGAGATTATTCAGCAAATATTCATTACCATATTTTGAAGCTTCAGGAGCTATTTTCTGTAAATACACCAAAGGATCCTCAAACTCCTCCTTTGTTGGATGGTATACAGGGCATACTGGGATTTTCTCTGTCCATTCTAGATCACTTGTGTCAAATTTATCAACCTTCCGCTTTGGAAAGGCAGCTGTCCCGCTTGAAGCACTGTTTGATGGAGCAAAAGATTCCACATTACCGTGTAACCTAACACCGCACGATGCTGAAACCCTTAAAGCATCTCCTCCACTTCTACTCATCATGCTGGTGACACTTACAGTCTCAGTAGCAGTGTCTGATTTCATTCGCTGAAGCCTTTTACGCTTCAGAAATTCTAACCCATTTCTAGCCTGTTTGGACAAACAGACCCTCCCTTCCACCTGTCAAAATGGAAAGCAATATGATGAAACCTAATAACTTCAAAATAGAAATAAAGCAGAACCGACATCCAGACACCCAAAAACGAAGACAACAAAGATGGAGACAAGCCAGTTGATCTACATAAACAAAATAAAATTCAACTCATACCAACCAAAGGTCACTTCACATCAATTAGCAGTTACAAGTACATTCTAAATTAGCTCAGACTATAACATAGTCCTACTAAGTTTCCGGCAGAGGATTACGAAAGAGGAAGAGAAAACACTATGCTGTAACGTATAAAACATTATGTACAATAAAGCATTGATCAAAACTAATGATTTCACCGGTCAGGCTAACCATGGCCACATAAAACTCCTTCGTGTCATGCGAATGCCGGGTGAAAAATTAGAGGAATTTCACTTTTAATTTCCTATATTACTCCATAACATGAGGTCCTACACATATCCTTCCTCATGCAAAAACTCAACCTCTGACAATATATGAGCTTTTGGCTGCTGCGTAAATTAAATATTTAGCCGCAGGAAAAACCTTTCTATTGAGTCAACCCAACATGACCAAATCAATTAATCACTTAACACCACAATTAAAGCCAGAAATGAGTGTTTACTGGACCCATCTTGAATTGCGAGTCAATGGCTCGACAAATCATTAAATTTTAACCTAAAAATGCACAAATTGATCCAACTCCATATATGACCATATCAACTATGGAAAATTATTCTTAATCTTACCCGGAGGAATTCAACAAATAACAGCGTAAAATCTTATTACGGAAAGTTAATAAAATAAAATTGGAAAATAGTAATAATAATTGGACCATTTGGCCCATGCAATTTATTTGCTGATCACAATCAAACCCCAAGCTTAAAAACAAAAAATAAAACAGAAATCAATTTTCAGTTTTGTAAAATTCATTTTGCAAAAATATCCCTATATAAGCGAATAACATCAACTTGTCTCAGAAGCATTTGTATAACAGAAAACGAAACAGATGAAGGATTTCAACGAATCAAATAACTAGAAATCAAAATGACTTTCTAAAAATAGAAACAAAAGAACTCAAGGCAAAAATTATCCAAAAACTGAAGAGACCGTTGCATATCAGAACAATGCTTTAAGATCTGACTGATAAAACGCCTTAACAAATTTTTCAAAAAATATCATTACAATATACTCAAATTTATAACTCTTTTCAAAAATTACAATAATATGTACGCCTACCATTTCATTCCGTAGTCGCGCTCTATTTGCCTCCGTTTTTCGTGAAGTTTTAGCTACAAACTGAGTCCAGAAATCCAAAATACAAACCCTAGATCATGATTTTCTCCATCAAAAATTCATAACGGAGAACCAAATAGCCCACATTCTCCCAAAACTCGCAAAACACGAACGAACCGCGTCAAATCAGAGATCCGAATCGTTTTCCAACAGACACAGAGGAATGGAATTAAAACAAATCACGGAATCTCATGTCAATAAAATAAGCTGTTTTCCGGTGAGAAACGGAGGCAGTTTCGCCGGAGAGAATAGCGGTTTACCGGCGAGGTGAGGAGGTTTACCGGTGGAGGGAAGAGGGAGGAAGAGAGATAGGAACAGTAGAGGAGAGAGAAAGGAAAAGGAATGGCTTAGAAAACCGGAAAAGAGCTAAAAGAGGATAATTTATAGTTTTATAGCGCAAAATAGTTTGCTTTAATGCAATTTTTTAATAATAGTATTTTTTTATTTCATGAAATAAATGGGGAGAGAGAGAAGAAACGAAGAATTGTGAAGGAAAGCGGTGGTTGTTAGGTGGTTCAACCAAACGCCTGCCGGCCAAAACGCGTTTTTTTGGGTTCCCTTTGCTCGCGTTTCGCTGCTTTTGGAAGCTTTCCGTTTTGAGGACTTGACCATTTTGACCCCATATAACTGGATTTATGACCACCGAATGTCAACGTGCCAAGTTCTTGTTTGCTATTTTCTCAATTCTTTTTTTTTTTTTTTTTTTTTTTTTTTTGCTTATTTTTCTCAATTCTTTTTTTTTTTTTTTTTTTTTTTTTTTTTTTTTTTTTTTGAGAATCTGAATTCTATTTTATTAGTATCAAAGATAGCACTAATTAATTTATACTCTTAGTCTCATAAATTTTTAACCTATCTCTTTTTTTATTTGTTTGAAATTATAGTTTTATTTTTCTTTTTATAAGAAGAGAATTCTTTTAAATCGTCAACTTTATCCTATTTAATTCAACTAAAAAAAAAAACCTCTACCCTATTTAATATGTAAAAATAATAATTATAATATAATTATATTTTTTTAATATGTTTAAAGTCAAACTATGATAAAAATTATGAAATTTAAATATTAATGTATAATTTCTTTTTCAAGGAAAATCAAGTAGTCAATTTAAAGACAAATTAAAATTGATGAGAATGTAAACAATAAGGAATCTCAAATTTGAATTGTTTCAAACATAACAGCTTTCACCAATTTAGTATATTACTTGACTAAGTATGATTTCGGTTAATTTGATCCCACACTAAATTTAAAAAAAAAAAAGACCAATAAACAATAAATAACATAATCAAAATAAGTGAAAAACAAATTTGCTAAACAACCAGGTGTGATTTTCTCACTATGCCAAGAGTGTTCCACAAAAAGAATTTTCATTAATTTAATGAGTTAACAAGAGAAAATCTATGTTGTTGTGTAACTAATTACGTTATTTCGACCTATTGGACTTTTCAATGAATAAAGAATATATATTAATATATATAATATTTGTTTTACCTTAGCCAAATGGGAAACCAAAACTTTTTAAATTTGTATTGATTGGTACATGATAGTTTTTTTCTTGTTAAATTTGTATTGATTGATATGTGATGTTTTTTTTTTTTTTTTGTGTTTTTTTTTTTTTTGGGGAAGGAGAATTTGCTGACTATTTTTTTTTTTTTTTTGGGAAAGGAGAATTTGTGATATACTATGTGATAGTTATATTACATGACACACAAACCTACTTATTGGTGCACAGATTTAAGTATCTTATCTAGACTTGCATAATTCATTTAATTCTACTTAGAATCCTAATAGAAATTAAATTTAATTCAATACTTAATTCTTTCCGGTATAAGATATATATAAATTTCTTTAAAATTTATGTAGATATAAGATTATTAGCCCAAGCCTATTTTTTTAAGTCAAAATAATAATTATAAAATTTAAATATTATTACGTATATGATCTTACTGATAAATTTAAATTTAAATTTATCGATATTAAAAAAATATTTTTTTACTATATTTATATAAAAAATATATTAAATTAGAAGTCCTCTGCACGATTATTTTCACCAACCTTCGGAAGTTCTAGTTAGTTACGGTACTTTTCAGGATGACAATTATACCCCTTGCAGAGTTCGCCTTTTGACTCAAAATTAATTACATTTTCGTAATTTAAGTTAATTCCCGTAAATTAAGTGGACCTAACACGAAGCGTGACCGGACGTGATCCTGGGAAACGACGCCAACTCGAAACGTGGCAGGGTGAGAGTACTATAAACTACACGTGGCAGTTAGTTAAGGCTGCCGTTATAGGCGTTTTGTGTATCACTATGATGTCGCTAAATCGGATTTAGATGGCGGTTACAGCAGGTTTCACGGACCCATGTACAACCAGTCCCCAGCTGTTGCCTGTTGGGTCCTTTCCTCACGAGATGCAATATTCTAATAGGAAAGAGCCACTACTTTTTTTTTCCTTCACACCCATTATTAAAAATATTTTTTAATTAAAAGAATAAGTCAAATACAAATTGAGTAATAAAAAAAATTAGATTAATTAATAATGAATCACTTCCTAAATATTACACTTTGTTTTTTTTTTATTTGTTAGAGGTTAAATAAATCAATTACTAATGATTTTACCCTTTTGCTTTTTACATTCTGTTAAAAATATGAAAAGACCAATTACTTGATTGATAATTATATATATATATTTTTTTCATAATTTTTATTCTGATTTAACTAACTTACACAATTATAATTTTCTTTTAAAAAAATAATTATTTTAGATATTTTTAAAATATTAGTTTAATAATAACGGACAATCAGAGTCCTTAAATTCAAATCCGATACGGCGAGTGAAAATTGTCACCCATAGGGAGAGGGAAGAGACAGAAGACGGTGTTCTTTTTATCTTTTTAGTTACGCGGAGGTTGGTCTAATGATTAGTTTTCCACAGTCAGCGAAAACGAAGCTTTGGAGGATCTTATGCATTTGGCGGCTCGGCTTTAACTTTCAGTCAACGTTTTACGCTCTGACGCTTTCGTCGTCCCTTTAGTCTTTCCTGCCAATACGGCTTCGCGTCAAGTTTCTTTGAGCCGGCTTAAACTTTCTTTATCTCCTTTCTCTGTTCCTTGGTTTGCCATTGTGTCCCACGGATTAAGCCAGCATTACTGTGGTCATTTTGAAAAAACTCAATCCAACACCTGAAGTTCTTTAGATGTCTATTTTGAGACCTTATTTTTCAATTTTATTCCATTTTGGTCCACAATTATTCAATTTTTGAATTTAACACCACATAATAAACATTAACGCTGTAGCCAAAAGGATATTAACCTTTTATAGTTCTACCAACAAGAAACATCAAATAATATTATTCCTTTAAAAATCTGTACCAACACTTAAAATAAATTGTTCCTATAAAAAAATTTTCTATTAGAGTGTTAAAAATATGTATCGATGTGTGCCAATCGCTTTTTGAAAAAAACTAATTAAAAATTAGAATAAATTCAAACCACACTTAAATAACTAATTGAAAGAGCAAAAAATTAGAATTGAGAGGGAAAGTATTACACAAAGCGAATGAAATTGTGATATTATTGTAGTATATTAATACAAATTAAAATTTAAAAAAAGTCGATTAAATATTAGATGGGAATCAAAGGTAAAAAAAATAAAAAGAATTTATGGAATTGATGATAGAAAAAAATTTGAAGATCTAATTATGAAATAAAAAAATAAAGTTTAAAGAAACAAAATATGGAGCTAAAATGGTTAAAGATAAAAGTTATGAGGTTCAAATACAAGAAAGAATGAGAAATTAAGAATAAAGAAAAAAGAATTCATGGAGTTAGAGGACAAAATAGGAATGTTGGTAGGACAAATATGAAAAATAAAAAGAAATTAAAGGAGAAAAAGAAAAAAAATTATCATGAGGTTATAATTCTGCCAATGCCCTCAAATATCAGAACATAAATTTCGTGGGTTCTTAACAAGGTGGAACAATCATATTAGCTCTTATAATTATTCGCAAGAATAATACGATTATTCCATGTTAGCTCTTAATTCTCTTAACATGGAATAAAATTTTAAAAGTGAACTTCTCAATTGTTCATATTTAGGCTTTTTTTTTTTTGTAAAAAAAAAAAAAAAAATTCATATTTGCTTTTTTTTTTTTTTTTTGTAAAAAAAAAAAAAAAAAGGCAATAAAATTTCTTAATAAAGCCAGTAAATTTATTGTAACCATTTTTTATTTAGGTTAAATTTTGTTTCGGACGTTGAAATGGAGCGGAAATGAGAATATATTCATTTTTCTGTGTATGATATATAGCATAGAATATGAGTTTTGATTCTATTTTTTTATCCAGTTGTAATATTAGCGAAAGGAATAGAATGAAATGAAAAATTATTAAGAACCGAAAAAAAAAATTATCATATTCTAATTTTATTCTTTTATTTAGTTATAATAATAGCGAAATGGAGTACAAAATCATTAAGAACACAAAAAAAAAAAAAATTATTTGTGTTTTTTTTTTTTTGAGAAAATAAATTATTTATCAATGAATTAAATTAGATATTATATATATATATTATATTATATATATATATATATATATATATGTATATATATATATATATATATATATATATATATATATATTAAAAAGAGGGAATGAAGGAGAGTAACATTAAGGATCGTCAAACATATCCTATCAAATTTTTAGATTCGATAAAAAATGTTTCTTTAAAGTTTTAATTTTATTGGATTGAAAAATAAGGAGTAATTTAATTAATGAATTTTATTATTAGTTTTTCTATTAATCTAAAAAGAGGGAATGAGGAGAGTAACATTAGGATCGTCAAACATAATCCTATCAAATTTTTAGATCGATAAAAATGTCTTTAAAGATTTTAATTTTATTGATTGAAAAATAAGAGTAATTTAATTTAATTGATTATATTAGTTTTTTATTTAAATCTAAATTTTATTGGATAAAATAAAAAAAAATTTATATTAACATATTCAATATCTTTTCTAAATGAGAAGGAGGGATTTAAACCCATAGGCTAAACTCAACGGGTGTCTTTTGGAGGGATTTAAACCCATAGGCTAAACTCAACGGCCAAAAGGCACCCATATAATTGACATCTACACCCTTTGTCCCATTTTATTTACATGGTTTGATAAAATACACATATTAAAAATTTAGTTAACAAAAATTATTTTGTCAATTTTTACTCTCAATTCATTAAGATATTAATAAAAGTCATTTATTTAATGAACAATCATAAATGTTATTATAAAAAAAATAATTATTTAAATACACAAATTTAGAAAACTTGTAAACATTTTGGGCTATCCAAAACAGAAATAATAAGTAAACAAAATGAAAAAGAGGGAATATTAATAAATGAGCATGAGAAGAAGGCAAGTTAACCAAATGAGACGAAGTAAAATCAAAAGCCTCATCAGCTAAAAGATTTGCCACAAAGTAGATTTTGATAATTTCTACCTCCCAATCTC